GAGCTTCTATTATTAGTAATTTATCAAAAGTTATATTTTATTGCTTAGATTTAATTTTTACAAATTATTTGACTAATTCAAACTTTTTATTTTTTTTATTTTTCCATTTACACTATCTCTGGAATATCTAGAATTATTGGAATTCTAGTAAATTTATACTACCAATTATTATAATATTATTTTCTATATATATATACATATATAGTCACTATTTGTATAATATAGGTATAATTTTGTTTTTTTGTGATATAATAAAAGTAAAAGCCTTAAGATAGATTTATTTTTTATTTATTATATAATAAAATAGCAAAAACAAACTAATTATATAACTTTTTTTTTTAATATGTGCTATATTAGGAAGCTAATTTTTTTTGCTGGTATATTCATTTGATAAAAAATAGAAAAGTTAATTATTCACTATTGTTTTGCTTATATGTTCTACTATTATGTTTAGTTTTTTGATATAGACCATATTTATTGATATGTCTTTTTGGTTCAGTCAATTTGAAACCAGAGAGATCTCTTTAGGTAGATGATTTAGCAATGTTTTTTGCACTAACAGAATGTTCTTTTGTCTGTTATATCTGTGAATTTTGCACAATATAGTTAGTTTTAGGAATAAATTTAACATTTTGTTTAAATCTGTGTTTTGTCTAAGAGATAATCAAGAATTAAATTTTTGGTCATATTCCTGCCATCATTGTTGCAGAGAGTTTTAAAACTAGATGATGCATGTATAGAAGATTGGTCATCTTGAAGATGCCAATGTTAGTGAAAGTTAGTAAATTGCAAGTACTAATTATTAGTATAATGCTTTAGAATTATATAAGAGCAGAGTAAACCTATTAATGAAATGAAGATACTACTACAGAGTTGTAATAGATTTTCTAAAGTCAAATTAGTTATTTTTTAAAATTGTTTTTGCACTTTTTTTAATACAGATATGGATATTTTGGTTACAACTTGTGCATAGAACTGATTATTCAGAGTATAAGAAATTCAAATTTTTTCTTAAGAAACTATAGTTTGAATTTCCTGATATTGATTCTCCAGTACAAAAGAAATTCTTTAATAGACAGCATAAAGATTACCTATAGGGTTGAGTTACAAAAGTTACAAACTTACATATAATTTTAGTAAGTTTTAGTAAATTAAATTTTATGTAATTTATTATATTACATATGAGAGCTATCAAGAGAAATAAGTATTTTTGTTTTTTAATAAATTATTAAATTAATAAATTACTGAATTAATAATTTATTAAAAAATGCAAACACTCTTTTCTTTTGGCAACTCTTATATAAAGTGCTAGCTTTGCAAAAGTTTACTTAGCATTAATGCATAAATATGTAATTCATATTGTAACCTCTTAATCACTGAAAATTTTGATCTTAAAACTACAAATCATGTATTTAATTACAAATTACATGAAAACTAATTTATCAAAACTTATTACAAAAATTACCAAAATTATGTAAAATTATAGTAATTTTGCAATCTAATTATCTGTTGATACTTGAAGATATTTTTTAATTATTGCATATGCACCTTCTATCTGAGATATAGTCATATTATTCAGGTGTAAATAATGATCAACCTAAAGACTTATGAAACTCTCTTTGAATAGCAGTCATATATCCTGCAAATATGTTAAAACTAAGGATTTTTTATTATATTTTTTTTTTAATTCTTTCTACTTTTCATTAAAATTTGTTTCTGTTTTAGATTCAATGATATCTATCTAGTTTTTTAAGAACTTAACTCATTCTTTTTCTATAGAAAAAGCATGTTTGCAGTTTGTTATAATATTTTTTTTATATGTCAGATACACAAAAGGTTTTGATTCAAGAAATATAGTTTTTACAGCATGCATCAATGCCAACTTACAATTAATTACAATTATCAGAGACTTTGTGACATTTCCAAAAATACAAGCTACACAAATAACAACATACTCATAATCTTTTTCTTGCTTAGATTTTAAAATGCAAAATATGAAAAAAATGTTATATTAAAACTCGTCATACCAATAGCATAAAGTAATAGTATTTTAAACTTATTGGTTTTATATATACAATCTATCAAAAGAACTGTGTTGTATTTTTTGGTAAGTATGATTGAAGTATGATGAGCAAAGAAAAAGTAAGTTATATAGTCATTTTGGTCATATTAAAAACTATGTTCAAAATTTTTATTATCTAGTTTATCAAGAAGTGCCTAAATCAGAGTACTGCCTTGAAGATTGTTATAATAGATTTTGTCTTAAGTATTGTAAATGTTTGTTGAAATTGCTGCAAAGTTTGAATTATTCTGATAAAGAGTTAAGAGCATTTTTCAGAGATAAATATTTGTAGCATATATTTATTGAACTTTATTTGGATTGTCTATAATCAATCAACAGTATGATGAATGTCCAAACATATCTTTAGAAGCTTCATAATTATGAGTAACATTGTTTACAGTTAAATGCTATTGACTGTCTTTTTGTTTTTTATCATATAGTTCAAAAAAACAATTATCAATCAGAAACTTGTTGCTCTTTTACAAGTCTCATCTATAAGATTCAAACTGTTTTTATAAGTACTGCCTTTATTACATTACAAATAAACAAATTTTTCTTACTTAGACCTCTTTATATACACAGCATATCTACTATTAAAGGCATATGTTTTAGCATATTCTATAAGTTTCTTATAGTTTCTGAAACATCCAGATAAAGGTAAAGATATAGACAGTTTATTACTATTTGAAAAATTTTTTTATTTTTTTATTTATTAAAGTATGCATTAGTATAAGGATTTTTGTTAAATTTTTTATAATAAATATACAAAAAAAGATAAAAGATATTTTATTAGTTTTAATAAATAAAATATACTTCTTATATACTGTTTTACTAATAAATAGTTACTAATAAAGAAATAATAAGACTAATACATTAAAAGAAATTCATAATAATTGAAGAAGTTTACAAAGAGAAAAATAAAAAACTCTTATTAAACCAATAATAGTAATTTTTAACTTTATAAAAATTTGTTTATATTCAAATCTATCTTACTAAAAAAACTAAAATATTATTATTTTTATTTAATATAAATTGTAAATATGAGTATTTCATACTATTTTCTTATTTTATCTCAACATGTTTGATTTTTTAATTTATTATTCTTATGAATTCATAAAATTTAAGCCATTCAAAGAATTAAAAAATTCAAGGAATTCAAAGTTACTTCTGAAATTTTTTAAGAATAACATCACTGTCTATTTTATTTTTATACAAATATTATATCAATTCACCTTTTTAGGTTTACTACTATTCTTTTTCTTTTTATTTAATTCATTTTTTATGAATTTTTAAAATTATTATTTCTCATGCTAGAGCTAGAATCTTTTGAATATTCATTGTAACTATTCAATGTTATTTGTGAGTTTTAGTTATCTGCAAATAATATTAAATGAATATTCAGATTTTACATAGATATTTATAGATAATTCGCAGATTTTTATCAAATATCATATGAATGTATTTTATATTCCAATAGTGATAGAGTTGGAATTCATAAATATTTACTGTTAAAAATGAATATTTAATGAATACAAAATTTGAAATAATTGATAAAAATTTGTTTAGAATTAATATAACTGGAATATTCATAAATAAAATAGATATTCATAATGATATTTGTGATTGATTATTCTTAATTATGTAACAGAATATTCACTTTTAATACTTTTAATTGAATATTCATTTTTAACTGTGAATATTTATGGATTCTATTTCTATTTAAGAAAAGAAATTAAAAAAAAAAACTAATATATCCAAAATAGTGCATCTTTGAAAACTATTGCATTAATGTAAGTCTGACACATAATGTAACAGCTATTTTAAAGATGCACTATTTTGGATATATTGCTTTTTTTTTTAAACTTTTTTTCAATTGATTAGTACTTTCAAACTAGGTTAAAGATTATTATATTATTTGAATTATTTATTCGTATAAGAGAAAGCTAATGTGAACTAAAAATTATTGTTATGCATTAATTTTTTGCAAATAATCTTTATTACTTAGATTAAAATATTTTCAACTTCAGATATACATTTAATGATTCAAAGCTTGAAATTCAAAGAAAAAAGCTAGATTTCTTTTCATACTAATTGACTAACTTCTATTATATAATAAGTACTTTTTTTATTTGTATATGATATTGCATACTATTATGATTACTAAGATTTATTATTAAGACAAAAATTAAACTAAGTTTTATAGTTAAAATTGGATTATCAATATTGTAAAAAAAAAAAAGATTGCAATTGCATGCAATTTTAGCAATTCAATCTTATCTGTCTATATCTGATATTAAATAAGAATTATACATAATACAATTAGATATTATAACTAATAATACTTTATTACTTAATGTATATCAAATACTTTATAAATAGATAGAATGAATTTTATATAATTTAAGTGATGTAAAGAGAAAAACTGTAATTAAATATATAAAATTTATAAGCCTCAAGTTTTTTCTTTGTAATACTTATTTAGAAACAATTTTGATAAGCTCTGCATATATAATTAAAATTTGTAATTTTTAGTTCTAGAATAGATTTTTGTTAATTAACTAAGTAATTTAAATATACTTTTTAAGAATGTAATATTTTATTAATAAAAATTTACTATAAAAGCTATCTCTAGCTGATAATAACATTAATATTAACTATTGCAATAATATCTAAACTAAAACTTAGAAATAAATGTCTTTGTTAATTGCTATGGTGCATGCAGCCTAAAGACATCAAATAATATATGACCACTAAAATTTTATATGCATGTGTAACATACAAATCTACGAATACTATTGGCTAATAAATATCCTAGTTTTTTTCTAGAGAAGTGCATTAGCATAAATGCAATAGACTAATAACCTTCTCTTTTTTTTTTTTTAAGGCTTTATTACACATACCTTTTTCTTTTTTTTGAGAACTCTGTTTTTTTTAGAATATGGTATTTTTTAAAGTCTTTTCCTTTTTTTGAAATATCAGTTTTTTTTCTATAAGGTCTCATCTTTTTTTTTTTGATATTAACTTTTTTTGAGGTTTCAGATTTTTTTTTAAAGTTAAACTCTTTCAAACCCATTTTTGATTACCAAAAAAGAAATACTTTATAAAAACCATCAGTCTTTATAAACTTTTTTTTTTTTTAAAAAATAAAAAAAAAAAGACTTATACACTATTTTCTTTTATATAACATTGCATAACCCTGGTATAACATTTAAGTATGCAATTTTATTTTTACTTCTCAATGCCAAAATGAAATAAACATGGTCAATACTGTACTAAAGCTATTAAAAAGTAGTAGAAAAAAAATGATAATAATGAAATATCAAATTATGAATCTGATAATGCCAGAAATGAAACTTTTTTAGAAGCATTGCAAAGTCTAAGACCAGAAGTGTTTGAAAAGCTTATTGAAAGTGCCAAAAGACTGAATATATGGAAAATAAATAGATGAAAACTAACTTATACAAGTTTTGCCTTATCAACTTTATGAAATAAAAGAGCAGCATGGAGAAAGGCAGCATCTAGGTCAAAAAAAATAACTGATTGGCTTTTAGCTGATAATAATTAATCATTCCAAAATAAACAAGAACTTTCATTTGATAAGGATACTAAATTTTTGTCTAATAAGTATGAGAAACTGTCATCTAATAAGAATAATGAATTTTTATCTAATGAGAATAATGAGTTTTTGTCTAATACAGATACTAAGCTTTCATCTAAAGAGAATAATAAGCTTTCGTCTGATGCAAATATTGAGCTTTCATCTGAAGAGGATAATGAACATTTATTTTATATGAATGATGATAAAGTTTATAATATAAACAATTGCAATAAACTATATAATGAACTTTCATATGATGAAGTAATTAATTCTAATGATAAAGATGAAAATAATGGGTTTAGCTTAGAAGCATTTAATTTATTATTAAAAGAAAATCTTTCTGATATTAAACTTCGCATGGTTAGTCAATTTCTTTACTTAGTTAAAGACCATAGGTATACTAAAATGTTGACTAATGAGCTTTTTGCTCATAGTGTTAATAGAGGTCTATGGCATGCTCAAGTTATTCGCATATAGGCTAAACAGTAGTTAAGTAAAGGTGAAATTTCTACATTACATCATAGATGTTATGTAAAAACAAAGTTGTTACTGTCTCATAAAGACTTTAAATCAAACATTACACAATATTTACATGCAAATAAATTTAAAATAACCTCTAAGCAGTTTGTAAAATTTGTAGAAGATGAAGCTATCCCTGCTTTAGGAATTGAAGAGAAAAAAACTATCTTTATTAGAACAGCCCAAATATTGTTACACAGTCTTAATTAAAATTATAAGGGTTATTCAAAAAACATTTATTATAATAGGCATGAGCATGATGATGTTGTAAGGTACTGGCAACAATTTTTAGAACAAATGACTAATTTGAGACCTCGAATGGCAGTCTATAAAGGAGATGATATGAATCAAGTTATTCCACCAAGACTACTACCAAATATTTCAAAAATTGTCTCAGTTACTCATAATAAATTAATTTTTTATGCTAATGATAGTGTTAAAAAGTTTTGGAGGCCTGTAGATGAAGATCCAATTTAATTAAAGTTCTAAGATTCTAGTATACATGTTAGTGAATTTATTTGTAAAACAATTGGTCAGCTTTGCCTTTTGTAAGAAAAAAAAGAAGCAAATGATTTACTCCCTGATAACGAATGCCTTTCTTATACTGATGCATATATTATTGTTTATCTGGGCATTAACCAAGATGGCTGCTGGACTAATGAAGATGTTATAAAACAAGTATCTGAAAGGGCTACTCCAATATTCAAAAGAACTCATCCTAGAAAAGTTGTGCTTTTGATGTTTGATAATAGTTGTAACCACAATTCATTTACTGAAGATGCATTATTAGTTTCTTAGATGAATATGAAAGATGGAGGAAAAAGACTGCTCCTTCATAATGGCAGAATGTGTAATGGTTTTATTCATATTATGATATTTGTAGATCAAGATAATAAAGTAAAGCTAAAAGGTATTAAATGTGTTCTTCAAAAACATGGTTTGTAGGTGCTAAGTTTAACAAAAGAATGTAATGAATGTAAAGCAGATGCTTCAACCAACCTACAATGTTGTGCAACAAATATTCTTAAATGTTAGCCTGATTTTGCATCACAAAAAAACAATTTACAAAAGATTATTGAGACAGCTGGTCATCTTTGTATTTTTTATCCAAAATATCATTGTGAGCTCAATTATATAGAGTCTTTTTGGAGAGCAGCAAAACAATATGCATGTTTACATTGTGATTATTCTTTTAAAGGTCTTAAAAAAACTGTTTCTCATGCATTAGAATCCATTAGTTTTACTAAAATTCACCATTTTGCATGTCAATCTGATCAATATATGAGTGCTTATGAGCATGGTCTTTCTGGAAAAGCTGAGTTTTTGCTGTAAAAAAATATCAATCTCATCATTAGATACCAGAAAGTATGTTAAAAAAATTTGGTTATATAAATTAGAGTTGGATTACATTAGGTTTAGAAAGTTTATTAGTTTACAAATTATATGCATTGTAGTGAACATGAAATATGACTAATTCAAAATAATAAATATTTGATAGTATTTCAATATATGAAAAGAAAAAGTTTATATTTTTATTATCAAACTTGATAATAAGGTTTTTTAATAAACTTTATATAAAGTGATAAATATATATATTTTTTGAATAATAAATTAATAAAGGCATATTGCAATAATTGAACATCTGATCAATGACCCAGAAAAATATTAAAGTTTACAGGTTTCTGATCTTGATATTCAAAAATTATATTAAATAAATCAGCTAATTAATATGTTGTATAGTTATCATATAATTGAATTATAGCCAATTAAAGCATTTCACATGATAATCATCACTACTGAAATTTTAAAAAATATTATTAAAAATACCTTTTGTAAAATTTTAACTTCTCAATAATTTATTAATAAATTATAAAATAAAAATACATAGATTTATAGAGCTTATTAAATAATACTTAACTATATATTTATTTTTTTGGTACTAGTTAAGATATGAAGCTTTTATAGTTTAAATTTTTGGATGTCTTTAGACTGCATGCACTATAGTACAGATTATACATATAAACTTTAGTCACTAAATGATTAAAACATTTAAGATTTAACCTTGTAAATGCTAATTAATACATTACTACATATAATAATAGATTATACAAATATCTATATTATATAAATTGTTTAATATTATAGCAGATAAAGTAAAAGACTATGCATATAGAAGAGTTGTTTGTATATATGATAATGCATTTTTTATTATAATTAAATTTGCAAAAAGCTTTAAGATTATTATAAAAAAAGTACCACTATAGAATAAAATTTCACAAAAAAAAATTTTTGTTAAAGTGTAAAAGTCAGTTTATTATATAGATTTTTGAGTTATGAATGATTTTAAAAATAAACAAATTTTTTTATAATCATGTTATATTATATTGATCATAATTAAATCATTGGTCAATTATCGCATGTGCAGATAAGTTCTGATATCTTTAATAAAGCTAAAACGATTAGATTAGTATGTGTTATTTTATTTGAATTAAGTAATAGATCAATAATAAGTAATCTTAGCTTACTAATTATAAGAATTAAAGATTGTATTTAATTATCTCCAATAAAAGTAGTAGTAAGTTAAAATAAATAGAATTACTTTTCAAAGTATAATAAATAATGAAAACTATAACAAAGATAGTTATAATATTAATGCAAATCTTAGAGTTAGTATATTATTTTGAATAAAAATCTGCATCAATAATATAATCACTTTTGTGAGTTTTTATTATGAGTTTTATCCTGTCATAATAAATAATTTACTTGCATTTTGAATTTTTGATAAAATTAACCAATTAAATATCTTTTTATATAAAGTATATATTTAATAGTTCATGTAACATAAACATGCATATGATCATATCGATCATGATATAAATAGAAAATTGTGATTGATGATCTAGTGTTATACAAAATCCATAGTATAAATAGTATTTATAATGGTGTAAATAGTAGTACTCTAAAAAAATTTTAAATTTTATTGAAGAGTTACAATTTTGAATGTCTTTAGATAATTTGCATCATATTTTAATTTTATTTTACTAACATCTTTAGCTAAAGTATTACTGATATATAAACAATAGTTTAATTAGTTTAATATTAGAATTAATATAAAAAATGCAACTAATTTTTAAAAAATTACCTTTATATTAGAGAAACATGATAACATCAGAAGCTATTAAGTAAAATGCAATAGAAGAAATATATTTATTTTGTACTATGCATAATTTGTAGTTACTTTGAGCCTATCTGTGAACCAATTGGTACTTATCACAAAGATGGTATCTTTGAGCATGATCAACTAAACCAACTATTCTTTATAATAAGTTGATTCTCTTTTTTTATAATCCTTCCAGAGAGGCATATTTAAGTTAATATACTTATTTTAATTAATATAAATATTTTTTAATTTACAAATAATTAAAATAATTTAAATAAAAAAAAACTATAATGAAAATAGAGGCATATAAGAGTATAATTAAGTGATACTATTTGCATTATTTTAACCAACTTAGATTAGACCTTTTAGTATAGATGCTTGTTATTGAAGTTGTATCAACACAAAAAAATTAGTTATTACAAATTTTAACTAATGCAATAAAACCAAATTGGTAGAAGAATTTTAAAAAGGAATATGTTTATGCTGATACAAGTGATGAAAAACAGGCAAAGAAGTTGTTAATAAGCATAATAAAAGAAAGCAAACTACTAACATAGTAACAAACTTAGATGGTTTATATTTTACTAATATTACCCAATAGATCTGTAGTTGTTCTGTATTTTTTAAAAATTAGTTTTTGTTGTATAAACATTTGGTATAACAAACTGTAAATACACCTGATAGAAAAAGGTAACATTTGCTTAAAAATAGGTTTAAACATTACACAATACCTCTATTCTTTATTATAAAGGATCCTAAAAATAATTACACTATATTATTAGATATTCAAATCATTACACAAGCTGCTAAAACCTATAATTTTGAAGCTACTGCTAATAGTTCACTTGATAGTTGTGATATTAGAGAATCCAAATAAAGAGGCTTATGCCTATGTTGAGTTAAACTAAAAATCATTCACACAAATGTTTGAGCAGATTTGTTCTAAAAGATCTGTAAATAATTGACTATACATTAAAACTATAATAAAATAGAGTTATCTAGTAAAAATGAAGAAGAATATTTAAGCTATAAAGTAGTAAAAACACAGACAGGCAACTTGGAAATTAGAGAATAGTAAAAAACTATACTTTATATATTTATTCTATTCTGAAAAGCTAAGAGTAGCAAAGAGGGCAATAATTATTGAGGACATGAATGTTATAAATAATAAAGAAAAGTAAGTAAAAGAATAGCAAAGTTGTATAAATTAAGATTAGTTATAAGCTTTTATACCTTTAAAGTTCAAATTCCTATTAACAAGTTCTACATAATGTCAATTTATATTAATAATATTTGTTATATAAATTTAACTATATTTTTAAGAAAAAATTTTTACAACTAAACTAAAAATGTTTAAATATTGTTAATTTTTTATTTTATTTTTTTTAAATATTAAGGTGAGTACTTGCTACCCAGGATTTTATTAATAGTATATTCAGCTAATGGTTGCATTACAACCACAAGGTGCATTTATAGAAAGAGTGTACAACTAGCCATTCATACAACTTTAGTCATTGTCTAATTTAAGTAGTCCATCTGAAGGTTCTATACTAGCTGCCATACCTGGAACCCACTTGTAGGTTCCCTATTTAACTACTCTGTTTCCGTATCCACCCACCTACCTACACCCAGTGTTGTCATGAGACACGGACGCGGACAGCAGACAGTTCGGGACAGGATGTCTCGGACATGTCCACCAATATTTTTTTGTCCCGGACAATTAAAATTATAATAAGAACAGCCGTGTTAGCCAATCAGGTTGTTCGATAAAATATATTACATGAGACAACCATCACGGACATGAATATTGTCTGGGACATAGGACACTGTCTGGGACTGTCTGTGTCCATGCAATTTTGATGGGACAATGTTCACGTACAACACTGCCTACACCTACCAAGATGCCCTGATTGATACCAGTTCAAATATGCCATGGTCACTAAGTCTTTAAAGTGGTTCACTCACATAGAGAACCTTTGACCTTGTACTAAACCTTCCAGAATCTTCTGTATCCCATTCTTACAGCTAACCTGGTATCACAATGGCCGAGACCAATACTGATGGTTAGAGCATATCATTAAACTACTATGCCCTTGTAGAGTTCATCCCAACCTCGGTACTGACTTCACAACATATTCTTACTACTTTGGTATTCAATTCAAGTTCTACTCAAGCTGCCATTCCAGATAGCCCAGAAAGGTAGGTCGAAACTATACATCTCTGGTTCACATATTTGCCAGCATGTGCCTTTTTTCTCTGGAATCCAGAAATTCTGGTGGCCTGGTTGGTTCATCTAGTCCCTCCTCAAAGACTAGCACATTTGCCTGGTTTTACAAGTTTTAGCTCTGTTTTATAAATCTAGTCTTTACAGTAGCACTGTTGAAGGTTCGGGTTACCTCTCTACTCAGGTCTTCCAAGTGGGCTTTTATCTTACTATCTGGTTTTCTTGATTTACATGGCCTAAGGACTTATCTTGGGTTCACACCACCTGGTACCAGTTTGTGTTTCCTCGTACAATATTATACAAGTGCCTTAAACCTTCCAGTTATGCTGGTATGACACAGGTTACAGGTATTCTATCCCAATCAATCACAGAAGACAGTTAGCCATAATACAGAAAGAATTGCAAATTTTCACCATCACTGAAATTTGAACTCTAGACCTGCCACTTGAGGTTGACAACTTATCTACTTCACTAGGTCATCACACCCCCTAAATATTGTTAATTAACAGATTTAAAAAATAAATTAATAAAATAAATTAAAGAATAAAATAAAATATAAATCTTTTGAAGCTTCTCTAATTTATTAAATCAATCATGAAGATTCTATAATAAATTGTATCTTTGATTTTAATGAAAATAAATAACTTAAAGTTGATTATCAGTATTAGAAATTATTTTGTATATAGTATTCATCTGATTGGTAGAAATTATTTAACTGTGGCTATAGCTATGATGATCATTACATCATTAGCACTTTTGAATCACTCTGACTAATTCAGCCTAATTGGTTATATGCTTCTCTATATATCTTGTCATCTGGTTTATCTACTTATCTTTTTGAAGGTGTTTTATAGGCTTTCATTAGTTTGACAGTACTGTTGAAAGTTTTGTGCTATTTTCTTACTTAGGATTTCCAAGTAGGTTTCTAACTCTTCGATTTTTTCATTTTCTACATCTGATAGTTTTATTGTAAACTTGCACCAAAGTTTTATATAACACTAGTTATTAACATTCCTTTATATAAATATA